AGAGAGAGAGAGAGAGAGAGAGAATTGTATGAAATCAAGAATGTTAAGTGCATGACAACGATATAAACGATATGTGCGAGATAAGGCGAAAGGATCTGCGAGGCACCTTCGCCAGTCTCTTCCATTGTTTTCCAATCACCGAACAGGATTCCGCATATTTCTGAATGACTAATTTATCCGTAATCATGACGCATAAATAACCACTGACTGAATCGGAGAGTTATATAGTGCTATTGCGCGATATCGTGATGATAATACCTGCTCGCTCGTTGATTGCGCCGAAAATTTTTAATGGCTTGATAAGCAGCGTATCGAAGCATACTATAGCTTGACCACCGCTTCAGTATCGTATTACAAGTTTCAAAACATGTGTGCGTTGCTTTAAGTACTTTCAAATAAATTAAGCTCAAAGAGATTCTTTGATAATAACTAAATCAAACAACTTGCTCAGAAAATTAAATTTTATATTATCGCAAAAGAAATCAGATTATACAATACTATTTATTTGTTCAGATTATATTTGTTATATCCATTTCTTATATATTATATCTATTATTTTTTGTTATAATATATAGTTTATTATAAGAAATTTGATAAAAAAAGAAATTTAACAAAGAAATGAATCATTTCGGTTTGTACATATCTGTGCGCCCATTTTATCGATCGACGATCGAGGATCTATTTTAGAAACGTGTTCAAAACCTGTGACACGCCGGAAGTCGTCTGATCACACGGAGACGTAATTAATAATCCGATTTTCTTGCGATAGAATATTTATTAGTCAGTAATCCTTCAGGTTTTTTCTCTTAAAAGATTCTAAAATCAATATTTACGAAACTTGTTTTGAAAGCATTATTAGTCGACTAATACGTTAACAAAGCGACGCATTAAATTCTGGCTGAAGAAAAAATATCATGAATTTACAAGACTTTTGGAACCGCGCTGCGTAACCAATCGCGATACACACGTAATCGCGAAGAATAAATTCAAAGATAGACGTTCAATCGCAAAAAGAAAAAAAAAGTGCGTTAATTGGGCGGCTGTTTACCAAGTACGGACTTCGCTTCCGAATAAGTTTCGTTCAATGATATACAAGTAGCTAATCAATGAACCGTCAACCGGCGCACCCAGAGTCAATCGCGTGTCGCATGACGAAATATCGGCACGGATGACGCCAAGTGTCGAAAGATCGCGGTATATTTAAAAATTTTTTCACCGGACGATAAAAAAAAGACACTGCAATGTCGTCATTCTGTTTGAGGAAAAAAAAAAAACGAAACCAGTTTCGCAGATTGTCGTTTGGTGACAATTTCGGCCGTGCTGTTCGGACGTGAGTCACGTCCGAAGCGTGGATCATTGTTATTTACACGTATTATTCACATGTTATTTACACATGTGATTCTCGCTCGCTCGTCAGAAAACAATGCAGTTTCGATTTCTTTAATTCCTTGTGTTTTTATTATCGTAGGTCAGTATCGATTCTCGATTTAACGAATTAAGCAATATCACGTCTTATCAACTGTCATTGATCCATTTATCTTTTGTTTTGTTCAATGAATATATTGAACGACATAATCAATAGTTGTTGCAATTATATATATATGTATATTGTACATATTATATACACATATGTATACTCGGTGAAATAATATCGCGTACGATTCTCTTTTGCATCGAAATATTATCGCAAATACTAAGAGTCTTGAATGAATAACTTTGTGATTGCACATAAAATATCTTTTTCAGCAAATTAAATTTCCTTCTTCTCTCAACAAATTGGCGAAGTCAAATTGGCGGAGATAAACGCCGGAGACTTCATTCGCCGTCTGATTATTCGCATAATTAAAAGAATGAGCGCAAAAATGTGTATTGCAATGAATTTCTCAAGCACAAATCTGGATAAGAGCGGAAATATCTCGAATAAACGCGCTGTACATTTTAAACGTCATATCTTAAACTATTTGTGCATTTTTCTGTTAATCGCACTAGGTTTGCAAACAGCTCGCGATAAGGCGGCGATGGTGTCCGTCGCTGTCGAAACGACGGCGACGATAACGGCGCGGATCACGCGGACTTTCTGGATCTCCCTCGCATAAGACGGCCACCGCGTTGCAACAAGTCACGCGGGTGTGCTTGTTCGTATCGATCTCGCTGCAATCCACCTTCTTCGTGCCACGTGTCGCGCCTGCTCCGCGCTCTCTGATCTCGCCCCGGTTAATCATCGCGGGCAGCACCCACGTAAGCGGAATGGCGCGAGATTAAAAGGAAAAAAATAATAAACGACCGGGTTGACCAATATCCGGTGGCCGGAACGCGCGCCGGGTGCGTTTGGAAACGCCGTCGAAGGCCTGGCCTGACTCGAGCATGATCCAAGTGCCACGCAATCGTGACCTTATCCCTATCTCTTTTTCTCGGGAGAGAGAGAAAGAGAGCGAGAGATACATACGTGGCCGTACACATGTTCGCAATGCACGAAGTCTCGGCCGTTGCGTGCGTGAGTACGCTATGTCGGCGAAGACACATATGTCGATAGTTTAGCCAGCACACGCACACATATGTTAGCGCTAATTTAGGCGCTTCTGGAATTGGACTCAAATGGTCCAGAATCGGATTTAAGCTGTTGCGTAAATTTGCATCAAATTTTTTATATGAAACTTTATACTTTCTTCGGATTTATTTTGTTATTTGGCACTGTTGTATTTTATTTTACTTTTTTTTTTGGAGCATTGTTTTACCCGGAATTTGAAAGCATGACGCAACGAACAAACATATCTGATGGGTTTTTTTTACGCTACTCGCCGACACGCTACTCGCCAAGAATCCGTAGGAAATTTAACGTCATCGCGTTAGGAAAAACTAGATAATCGAAGGTAGATTCGTCATGGCCATCCGTGGGTGAAGTTACATGCCCTTATGTGTGCAATTGTTTAAAGTGTGCCTCCCGCGCGCGACGAGAAATGCTAAGGTAGGTCAAGGGCGTGCTGCACTGACGTGTCTCTCCAAAGATCTCGCTTCTCGCAGACGACACACGTGTGAATTTTTAAGGACATTAATTTCAGTTAACTTTTAGAAAGCATCGATTTTTTTCCGGGAAAAAGAGTCCCTTAGATAATTTAGAAAATTAGAAGATATTTAATATACAATAAAGCATATTTTATGAATTTATTCTAACTCGCCAGTTTTTATATAACCTGCGATTAATAAATATATAATTAAAATAACTAAAAAAAAATAGTAAATTTTTTGAAATAAATTAGTGAGAATATCTATAAACGAGGAAATTATTTATTTACATTTAAATTGTGTTTAATTTAATAGAAGATAAAAAAGATAATGTATTTTTGTATACTGTAAACATGAATCTTATCGAATTTATTGTGTCACTGATAATGAATAAATAATATATAGAGTATGATATATATATAATAAATTATGTTATAGAGATTATCTCATTTATCTAAAGGAGAGACAAATATATATATATATACTCGAGTATTTCTGAGAATCTATTGACAGCTGAGAGAATATAAAACTTCAAAGAATAAACGTACAATTGATACGTTGAGACACACTGTGTATTGAGCTTCGTACGACCGCGTGTCGCGACTTGAAGAGTCCACGTATACTTATCGAGGCGGCCAGTAGCGGATCTTGCGTCTAGACGTTACTCATTCAGTCGATCGTTCACGTAGACCGTTATATTACTTTCCGAATAGATACACATCAAATCTCTTACCTCGATGTTGTATAATTAGGCACCTATCTGTTGCTTCCGCAGATACGACTTCCTCGTAATAAATTTAACGGTCCACTCTCCAGATTCGTGACGATTATCCGCGTGCACAATCATAGCACGTGTTACGATAGCAACAGTGTATGATGTAATATCGTTCGTATATCCGGTGATTCAGGATTCCGTGCTTTTCCATCTTGTTATGATATCATTGACCTGTCGAAAGGTAACGATCGAAACGTTAGAGAATATTGCACATTTAGAGAGATGAATTTTCTTTGTTATGCAAAATATTTCTAGTAAATGTATCTTTTAATACTTGGAAAATATTTTAATGTTCATCGCTAGAAAATCAAGTGCAATCCATTAAAAAAGCATTCTGTTACAAATATTATTATTAGCGCTTTGATTGTCCGAACGTAATCAAATTTTTTATTAAGTAAAATTATCAATTTGCAAAATAACATAAACCGTTACATATATCTTCTGAAATAATGCAGCGCATTGAAGAGCGTTCTATATATACCGTGCTCTCTGTATTCGTATATCAGCCTGCAGGTCAGACTTCAACATCATTTCTATAATCAGCCGAATTAAGAAAAAAAAACCGAAATATTTCATATATTATAGCAATAACGGATAAGGTTAAATCGCACCAACGCGAAAAAGCGAACTCTCCAAGTGGCCTCGCCGGAACTGCCGGGGTTAGCCGAACACGCGCGTTTGCGTTCCCCCGCTATTCACGATCATTGCCGAAGATTGCCGAGTGCTGTGCACCACGGCGGTTACGTTCGCGTACGCTCCTCTACCAGCACGCAGTTGTCAGCTGCACAATGGCATCATCGGTTAGTGCTCGCTCGTCCTGCTGCCGCCGTCGTTTCTGAGCGGTGGGCCGGCCCAAAACGTTGGACCGTCCGTTGCGCGGATACCACGAGTCTCTCCTCTCCTGTGTACGCGCGCGCGCTCTCTCTCTCTCTCTCTCATTCTCTCGTCTCGAGTATTAATCGCGGAGACACGTTCTCTCTCGGCCGTGTCTTCAGAAGCGAAACGACGACAACGAACGCGCACCGCGTCCGTCGACGTGACGCCAGCAGAGCCGACGAGAACAAGCGAGCTAAGAAGAAGAAGAAGAAGAAGAAGAAGAAGAAGACTCCGGACGAGGCCGATCGCAGCAATCGTGCTCGATTGTACCTCGCTTGCGGTGCCGCCCGCGGACGTCCAATCGTCTTAACCACCTACCCACCGATTCAGGAACGCACGGCGACAACGACGACAAGGAAAACACAAAGGTAAATTTCTTGTCGCTCGGCGGTAAGATCAGCCCGCTCCTCGCTATTGTGGAACGCGTCCGACGATGGGAGCCTCGTCGTCGTCGAGCGCGTGTGCATCTTCCCCGAATCCGCAGGAAACACGCTATCGACCGTGGAACACTGCGGGGTTACTCGTTTCGGGGTGGAAACGACGGTAGCGCGACACTCCGATCTCGCCACCGCCTCCGAGTGCTTGTGTGTACGTTCTCGTTGTAATATGTCGCGCGACTCCAGTGCAAAGTGCAGTGCTTATTGCATCGACGGCATTATCGCGATGTCGCCGTCGGCGTATCTGCTGGTTGCGACAACCGATTTAACTTTACTTGCTTCGTTAAATTCGCGCCGTTCGAGACGGCGGTTAAAACTTGAACTTTCGATGCCGCAAATGAATTTCTATTGCAACATTTTTTTTTTCGTGTCTGTCGAAATGTCAGCTGTTAAAATTGCGGGTATTATTTAAAAAATATGAGGTTAATGCTATGCGAGTCACTAACGATTTTGCATTGTTAGCTAAAATTACAAAAATAATGAAGGACCGTTGATCAAATTTGATTAATTATGTCGGTTAGCGTCATTAATTTTCGGTATTAAGCGGCGAGTTTTTTTTTTTTTACGCAACGCCGCGCTTTGGACCACTTTTTGCACCGGGATGTCGATCGTTAATGGTCGCGTGTGTCAAGTACAAAAGCCGGTTGACGCTGTCTCTCGCGCGCAATATCGTAGCCTGTTTGCGTTTCGCAATAATTCCACGGATCTGGATCGTAATCCTTTCTTGATAAAGCCGACCGGAGGTAGCAATGTCATCCAAGAAACATTCATGAGATTTATATCAGGGAAGTTACGGTTGACTTTGCACTCTTTCAATATATGCTTAGCATAAGCGCTGTTTGCTTGAAATCATTTCCGTCTTACGATAAACAACTTTTTTATCGAATGTATTGCACTTTCCAAGCTCTCAGGAGGTACTTGCAACAACTTGAATCCACTTAAGTTACACTCAAGTGGAATTGATTTGTAAATTACTTAAAGGTATTTCAGAATAATAGCTTTGTGTTTCCAATTGAGAATGTCCCGAAATCAGGAGAAAGCCCTTTTCTCGCTGTTTATCCTCACTGTGAGTCATCGCATACCATTTTTGTACGGAATGAGCGTATTTACGTTGAATGGGTGATTTGACGTAGGCATTTAAGACTAGTATGACTTCAGCGAGTTTACATTCGCGCCACCGAGTCGAGGAAAACAATTTTTCTTTGTTCCTGATAAAAGGGAATACGTCAACCGATGTAAGGTCATAAATTATTCATACCGGAAATCGAGCTCTCGAGAAGATTATACCGATTTCGGTTCGAGCATTGCGAAACGGAGCGAAGAGAGGATGCTGCGATAAGGACTAGGACTCGCTTTCGGAATCGGCCGGCTTTTGATCGGCGCGGACTATTTTTGCGATACAATCGGCGGCGGAGCGCGCGGCATTAGGCAATTTATTTCGCGGGCTTGCCTCACGTTCGATTGCGCTATTAATGCAAACCGGTGCCCGCAATATCGTTGCGCGACAATCGTGGAACTCACCGCCATTTTGACCTTACCGAAGGATATCTGGTATCTCTCTGTAAACGTATACGTGTGCACAGGCCGCCGGGCCTCGCGCGCTCGCGCGTGTGTGCGTCGGCGATATATCGCGCGTGTCGTTTCGACACACGCGGCGGCGGCGGCGGCGGCGACGGCGGCGGCGACGCCGACGACAGCGAACGCAACACTTTACTAATTCCGAGCTCGCGATTTCGTCAGATACGCGCGTTTCATTGAGGGAACGCGAGGAAGGGTGGGGAAGACCTCGACAGTGCTCTGGGTACGCGCACCTGCCGGCTGCATCGCCGGCTACGAAATAGGCATCGCCTCGAGTCCGCCGCTGCTGATTCTCGCAACGGTTTAAAGCTGGATTCATACTACACGCCACGTCAACGTCGCGCTCAAATATTCTCATAAAGGTTTCAGATAAGACAATTCAGAATCCAACCCTTTATTAAAAAATATCTCTCAAAATAATATTATGCATTATAATAATTTATATTTTACATTGCGAAGCCTCTGAATTTTCTTTAACTCTGTCGTAATACTGCACACTTGCTCCTTTTTTTCTTTAAAAAAACTGCTAGACAATAAAAGAAAAATATTACACAATATTAATTTTATTTTTAGAAATACGTACGTCAAGCTATTCAACAAAAAAGAATTTATTATGAAAAAAAAAAAACGTGAAAACTACGTGAGTGCTGTTGTCTTTACCAATGCATAATCAATTCAAGCTTCATATAGTTTAATAAATATGAGCATTGCATCACTCCTTTTGGAATATCGATATTTTACGAATATCTTCAATCAGTTTTTGCGAGCATTAAAATTGCCAACGTAAAGTCATTAGAATTGCTAAATGCTTAACCTTTAGCATTCCGAATTTAAAGTCACTTCCTTATCTGAAATATTCCAAACCGACAATGAATATAAATATGTATCGTTGGAAGTCTTTATCGAAAGCCCTTATCGTTTCGACCGAGGAGCATGATGTAAGATTATCAATCTAGCTTTTTTTCGCGATACCCCGCGATAGTTGAACCGAAAAGAACCGCTAGGTCAAAATTGTGGGACGTTACTGCTTAACGTTAGGTCATCGTGGAATCGTATCTCAAAGGAGCAGCTGTAATCGGCTCGAGTCTGGGCCTATTCACCTGTCGATACAGCGCTGACCTCGCGAGCATCGCGGCATCCACGTGATCGGTGATAAAGCCGTACTTTCCGTCTTGAAGAGTCCTTCGCAATATGATAAAAACGTGTCGCGATTATTCGTTATTTCGTTTGTATTGCGCGACGGGTCGCCGGGGAAGCGGAGAGATTGGGCAGAGATCGTGTTGCACAGCCCTGATCTTTGGAGCGAGCCGCTCGAAGCTCGTTGTTGCGTTGGTGTTGCTGACTTTTGCGCAAGTGCGTAGATATCGTAATAGAGGAGACCGCGAGTATCGCCAGTCAGCATCTGCCGCGCGAATGATATATGATTTTCAAACGCTACGATACAAACGTAGCTCGTAAACAAGCAGGATTGGGCAATATCTCAATCAAAATTGTCTGAGATAGCTGTTTCCAATTATCAAAGCTAATTCGTTGCAAGAGTGAGGAGTAATGATGTAAGCCACTAATGAGAACACGTGAATTTTAGAGATTATAATAATGTAAAGTTAATTGCTCGAGTTAGAAAAGCTACGATTTTTCTCTGGATTTTAGCATCGACTACATTTTAAATCGTCTAGTATGTATAGAGAATTCGCATAATTTGTGCCTTGTCTACTCCGCTTCCTGTCTCTTCACATTCTATCGAGCTATCGATTGATTCTTTCGTTTCGCACACTCAAGGCACGTATTTCGTCACGTTTACCGGCAATTTACTCGATAAAATGTCTGTCTTCGAATTCGACCTCGTCGCTCATTATCGTCAAGACGTTAATTGCCGCCTCTAACTCGTTATAATTCTTGTTCTCCAGTTGTGAACGGGAACAATGACCGGCTACTGAGCCTTTCATTCTTTTAATTAATATAATTTAGATTAAAACTAAAATATAATTCAAGATAATGTGTGCCCTCCCGTTTCTTTAGAATGTGAATTTCATTAATAAAGGTCTGCAGTTATTAATTTCGACTTCAGTCGAACAGAGAATCTATCAAAAATGAATTATGTGGCACGTGAAGAAAATATCATTGTATCATATTATAAGATAGTATTTCTTGTTTTTGCTTTGACATCAGATCGAATTCGATTTCTTTTGTTGAATTTAAAGAAAAATGACGCTGCTGCGAGTCGCATGAAAATGAGCATACGACGGCGCGCCGGTTGTACGCTTCGAGGAGCTTCCTCAAGGACGACTGCGCGATATTTGCATATCTCGAATCGGTAATGAACGATTATGCGAATGAGAATGTATAGCGCGAGGGCACTAATCGAAGAATGGCGGCGAGAAGTAGATTTCGGCGTGAAAGATGTACAGTCCACCCTTTGTTCGTTTGCCTTGCCCGCAATCGCGGTTAAACAAATCTTTTCACGACTTCGTGATTTCCGAAGAGCTTGTAGTCTGCGAGACTTGTAGCTTTATCGCTCCGAGCAAAATTTTTTTTTACAGCGAGTCGAACAAACGTTTCATTTGATTTTGTTTTCAATCGTTTTTAAGTAAAAAAAAAAAAAAAAAAAATGAACGAGTAATGCGATAGATGTTTGGAACAAAGAAAGAATATCTTATCCGCGCAAACGTTAAATATAAAACCGATCAATTTACTGCAAGACAACACTATCCCCATATCGGAATACGAACTCGGACATTTGATTGGCATTAAGTTGAATAGACAATTGTTGTTTTCGACGCGAATCAATTTACATTTTTTCTTCGATTAGCGCACTCACACGTGCGCGCAGCGCATGAATTTCGGCGAGCGAGTGCATTATTTTGTAAACATCGTGGATCGACGACGTGTCATCGACATTTATCGGGGGGGTGGCGGGCGAGGAGAAAGCATTTACGATAAAATTACGCGCGTGAATCATAGCGCGCGAGTGCATCATCGCGGTCGTCACTATTTCAGGCGGTCTCGAATAAATACGGCCGCATCCCGCCGCGGAAATATTTTCCTTCCTTCTTATTTCTTCGCTGGATATCCGTTTTTTTCGAAAAGAGAGGCGTGATGGCGCTTCGACTGTTTGTCTTTCGCGAGTAAAAGCGCCCTTTCGCGTCTATGCGATTATCGGCGCCGGTCACGTGTGCCTACGCTTTGCATTCGATCATTCATAAAACCGTCACGTAATTTCCTTCAGCGGCGATTACCTCCTTCCAGCCAGTGCCAACTCCGTACCTTGGAACAGGAGCACTCAATGTCGTTTCACAGCGTGAAAACTATAAGATTTTTATTACGCGAATATTGCGAATAATGCTCGGTTTCACTTTCCGGATGCTTAAACGCGACGTAGTTGACATGTGTGTACGTGAGTAGAATGTTTGCATAGCGACATTATGTCCATCAACTTTCTTTTGCAACTTCCGCAAAAGTTTGCATCAGTCTCCTGTGAATTTACGAGAGATGAACGCGTCATAAAAACGACATTTTCGACGACACCGATGCACCATCATCTTCATGTTGTAAAAAAATGTCCCTTGCGTTCATACGATACGATAAAGTTGTGAACGATCGATTAATATTTATAGTTACGCGGCCGGAAGTTGGCTCGGGGCAGCAAGAAGGTTCATCGTCGTCCCTGTCCGGCGATATCCCTGACCTTACAAAGTTCCCCTTCTTGCTTATAACCATGGAAGTTGCGCACGAGGCAGGAATGTCGAAATGTTGTCTTTTGAAATTGTCCGTGAATCATATTATGGACTTTGCGAACGGAACTATTGTCGTCGCCGGATCGCGCGCGCGGGCGTGTGTGCGTAACACACGTAGGCGTAATTGTGTATAGGTGCGCCATGCCTCTCCTGCTATTTTGGCCAGGGCCACTCGTGCAGATTACCAAGAGGCAATAAGATATTCTTTCTCTTTTTATATCGAAAGATATGGCGGCATGCGAGAGGACGTGAAAGTATGCGCTTAAAAATTTCGCATAATCCGATGACGCCGTATTTAGATCTGCGATTAAACACGAATGTGCAAAACAACAGTTTGATTAATAATTTTGCGGGTTTTGAATGTGAATTGAATTTTCCGCAAACTCACGTAGCTCTGTGCATTGTATTTGCGAAATGCCACAAAGTGTTATCTGCGACTCCCGAGATAATATCCGATCCTTTTGTGTTACAGGATCAGCTCTCGAGAGCGACCGACTGATTATCCACGAAGATCTCTCTCCGTCCAAGGACCCGGCGCAACGACGCTGCGCGGGCCCCCAAAAAGCACAAGTGATATTTCTAATAGTTAACTCGTTAGAGGTTAGAAGATCCGTCGGTGAAACACCGTCTCGCAACTTTGTATATAGAAAACGGAACAAAAAAAAATGTCGATGCACTCGATCCGTGATGGCCAGTGCTAAGTCCAAGTGACGCGCGAAGTGTGTTCAAGCGCATCTTGCTGCTGCAAATCCGTGATCGCGCGAGACGTGGCGAGCCAGGACGGTACGTCGAGGGTAACGACTTGGTGCGCGAGTGATAATAATTATAAGCCAGGTGTGCGCGTGTCCGATCGCGCGCGCGCGCGTGTGTGTGTAAAAACGGGGCGCAATATGAGAGTGGCCAGGCAGCATCCACTGCACCTGCAAGTACCGGCCCGCAACAACAATGGCAAGTTTCTGGTCGGTCCGAACGCCGGCAGTCAGGACGCCGTTCATCAGCAGCTGTCGCCGCGGCAGCAGCCGCAGCCGCAGCAGCCGGCCGGCGACGAGAGCAGCGCGGTGGTGCCGCCGAGCTGTGTCTTCCCGACCTGCGAATCGGTGCCCACCGACCTTCACGGGGGACCGACCATCCTCGGGGATCGATTTTTGCTTCTTGGTCCGGCCGAGGGTAGCGCTCTTTATCGGTGCGTCGACGTGCACAGCGGTCAACAGCTCGTCGCCAAGGTCAGTGCCGAAGGTCCCTTTATAATTCGTCAGTTTCATAATGTTGCACGACGACGGGCAAGCGAGTGGCCGTCGCGGATACTTTTTATATATGTCGCAGATTGCAACGAGGGGCAACAGTTAGCTGATAACTTGCCGTATCCGGACATTGGCGCGTTGAATTCGCGATTCGTTATTGCGTCGATAATTGACGGAGAACTTTTTATTGTACTTATCGCGGATCGCCTCAAATGTTATCTTCAATAAAATTGGGAAATTTAATGGCATATTATGTTGACGGGATGCGCATCAAGCGTTATGTAAGAAAGTTATTCAGATTGATAAATAATCCGATAAATGATCAGGACTTCGCAATATTCGTGACAACAATACGAATTAGCTATTTGTCTTATAATGCGTGGCATATATCGGCGATGGCGCGTCATCGCACGTGGATGCATCCGCAGCGTTGCACTGCAGCTGCCGAGTTTCCATCCAACTACTGTGGCATTATATAATGGAGCATACGGACGTAACGGTCCGCTAATGTTCGGGTCGATCGAAGCCACCACCGTGAAACTCGTTGCGAGATCGACACGACGACGTAACCGAGAGTGCATTTGTCTGAACGTTTTACGACTTCCTCGAGTATGATTCAATTAATCCTGACCCGGGCGACCTCTCTCTCTCTCTCTCTCTCTCTTTAATTAAAAGGAAAAAGTGATTTCCGTTCCCGGATGCTTGTTGAATAAAGACGACCCCGCGTTTCAAAGCTTCGAGTGTTTTCGGGATATCGGCGGCGAGAGATGATTCAACGCGCCAAATAAGTCGAGCAGTTTTTTTCCTATCTTCGCACATATAATTAAAATAGCACCGATAACCGTTGTTCAGCAGCTCTTATCAAAGAGCGTCGTGTCTGCCTCTGTAAATAAAATGTCCATCTTAAATCCGGATTTCGACATTCCCCACTGATAACGGCGGACTTTGTCATGGTGTGGCAATGTGTGAAACCATATGTAAATACACTCGCACACGTGCACACATGTTTCCTGCTTCGGACGCATTTATGTTTATTTATGCCGCGTTGCATCATGAATTTCGGAATTTGAATTTCCGCAATCGAACGGTCGGCGGAATTTTCGCCGCTACGCTTTATTCCGCAAGGCGTAGATAAAAATCAACCGGGCGGGGAAAGGGGGGAGGGGGGAGAACTGATAAACGACCAACTTTACAACAGTCCGCGCGGAGACTCCCCTGCCGCGTTTCCATTAACATTTTACAATCGCCGCGCGTTATACAATGAGCCGCTTACATCATCCGCGCTGCGAACAAATACAAGGCTGTGTCACCTCGCGCCCGCCCCGCCTCACCTCTCACCTAGCATATCCGTCGTCGCATATCGCCACACACTGTCCGTTATTCATAATCGCTTCTAAAGCTACGGCCATTTAATTTAATTGACGATTACACGCGCGCGTGACGCGCGCTTTCGCAAGTGTGTCCGCGTTGCAAACCGCAAGAGTTCGTGATTTCGTTAGAAAAAGAAACAGGATGAGGGTCATAGTTATTTCGGGCAATGGAGAGATCGCGAGCAACTGTTCTTGACTAATACCATCGACCTTTCGGTTGGTAAAGGAATTCAAGAGCAGGGCAGTTTATGAATAATGCTTTTATATGTTGACGTCATTTGATTTGACGAATTCAGTTTGATGATGTTTTCTTTTAAAACATAATAAAGATTAATTAGTGAGTTATTTTTGTACATGTTTCTATTCTAATTATATTACGTTTGGCAAATTTTGCTAGACATTTAGCCAACACCTGTTATGTTTGTCTAATTTTTCGTCGAGCATGTTCTTGCCTATCATTAATTTTATCGAAAAATACGAACGATTTTCGGCTTGTTTTCTGAATTGAGAGCATTACAAAAGCTGCAATCGATGGCCAATTTCGTAAAGAACGCACTGTGCTCTTATTAAACTAATGGGACTCGAATGTCGAAACGGTGTCAGGTTTCGACACGAGAGATGAACAGCTGGACGAGCAGAGTTTCAAAAGTAATCGACAATTTCGTTATCTGTATATAGCTTTCGTAAGAACTTTTATCCCCGGGCTTGTTTAACTTGTGTGCAACATGTGTAATCCTCACATTAAATTAATTCGATACTCGCGAAGCACACAAATCTGATATAATTAATTAAAATAATTAGAAAAATTGACGTGGATGTAATTTCATCAACCTCTAACATCGACCCTGATTCGACGCCATATGACGAGGTAAAGAATTTATAATTGCATACCTTAGTGATATTAGTGATCGTTAAATTAATATTCTTCTTAAGGATATCCGGTTGGCACAATTGGAGCTTATTTATTTCAATCCGACTCGATATCAAGCGAAATCCGCCGGAAATGATCGGTATTGAATTTCCGTCCGGAACATTTGTCAGAAAGAAAGAAACTTCCGTCGCTCGTTACTGCAAAATACGATTTACCGAATTAGATTTATCTGGCAGAAAATTAGATTTGTCGGAGACGTAATTACAGTATGTTCGGATGCGCAAAGTCACAAATTAGAAACGGCCCGGTGATATTTTCAGAAACTTACTTCCTGTTCGCGTTCAGTCGATGACTTGCATCGCTTTTATCGTAACTCTGTCGCATTTCCGGATTGCAGGCGTTGACCGTGGGCGACAAAGGTTGCGAGGCGTTGCTGCAGGCCCACCTTCGTCTCGAGGGCACCGGCGCGGCGAGCGGCGTGGCCGGCGTGGTGGAGGCACCTGGAGGCCGGCGCTATCTTCTCTTGGAGGGTCACCACGGCGACCTGCACGCCTACGTAAGAGCGCGCAGGAGACTACGCGAGCCTGAGGCGAGGCGACTCTTCCGGCAGGCGGCTAGGGCCGTGGCGACTTGTCACGAGTACGGTGTCGTGTTGAGGGATCTTAAGCTCCGCAAGTTCGTCTTCGCCGATGAAGCGAGGTAAGAAATCGTACAATCGCGTATTTAAGCCCTTCTTCCTAATCAAGCCGTTGAGAGACAGTTTTTCCTTTCTAACGCTGTAAAGTAAAATGCAGACGATTTTGATCAAATATTTTTCTCTGACCCAAAATCAAACAGAATCCTCCGGAAATTATCGGCATTGAATTTCCGTTACGAAAATAAAAAAAAAAAATAATATGCTTTTTAGTTATTCTGTATCGAATTTTGTGTTATACCTCTTTCCGTTTTTGTACCATTTGACAATATGATACGATATATATTATTTTTGCGGATATTATATTTGAAGAAAAAAGCAACCGAAATTGTGTGTTTCCCGAGAATTGATTAAAAGTTCATAAATGATACATCCGGATCGAAGCAAAGGTATCGATAGCGCAGGGTTCGCGTTCGCTTTTCCGAGTGAAGGGGAAGTCGATTGTGGGTGCGTTTTTCTCGTACGAGTGACCTCTCTTTGCTTCGCGCTGGAAAGAAATATGGGCAAATATGATAATGAATATTAACCAATTGATCACAGATCCGTGGCTTCGCGTTCTCGTCTCAAAGAGCAAGAGCGTGTTTCATTAACACACACACAGATATCACAGATCGCATCAAAATGCGATTAGGTTCATCTAACGCACTAGATGCTGAAAATTTATTTCAAATGAAAGCATATTTTAAATCCTGAATAGAGAAGAGTATAAATATTAATTATTGAATATTCTTAATACAAAATCTACTATTTATAATTATTAGAACAGACAGATGCGTCACATTTTCTCGTTTCCATTTTCTTTGACGGAGAACAAAAATTAACGACAAAGAAATTTCACCTGCGGATTAAAATTGAAATTTGTCCGAAGTTAAATTTCTCTTATCTCAAGCAGACGTATCGGAGTCATTTAAGCAATAATGAGCAAACAATTATAAATCCTTACGAGTTACAATCGCTTAGTCATTTCGCTTATTATACCCCGTTTGGACTTCATCGGGCTGCCTTGAGTCGTGATTCAGGGTGTGTTTGCGCGAGGCGTTATCTCGGCGTGATTATTCGTGATACGACATGCGACGCACCCACAGTGTCGCTGCAGCAACGTGCAACAGGCACGTAAGCAGCAACCAAGCCGAGCCAAGCCAAGCAAACGGGCGTGTTGTGTGTCGTGCGCCGGCGATCGGGAGATCGACTCGTATGTCGGTCCGTATGTTGGCCAATCGCATTCCTGCCGCTCGGCGAGCTGCTGCTCTCGCGCACGTAGAATAAGGAGAGTCCGGGGAATGTTGCAAGCCGCAGAAAAGCATATTGGTTCATCGGCTGCTGCGGCGTGGTTTTGAAACGTCGGTATAATTAGGAAACGCGTGGTTGTGTGTTCGTTCGCTCCACCGGCGCGGCCGGCGTCCAAGAAACGGCGGCGCGTGGTATTCTTTTCCTCCCTTTCTCGCTGTCTTTCGCCTTCCCCGAGGCGCGCTTAGGACACAAGCCCCGATTACTGTAACGCATGCGGTTGCACGATACGTCGATATGGCGAAATTTCGACGCTCGACGGAAAATTTGGTCGAATAAGAAGTGGAAATCTTCGATTAGTTTATCATAACACAAATAAGTAATATCATATATATTTCTATCAAATTTTCTCGGAAGATTTTTTGAATTCTTTTACTTTGAAAGAGAATTTCTCTCGCACATCGTTTTTCTGTCAAGTTTTAAACACGCGCGAGTTTCATCACGTTGCGAATCTTTTTCGCGCTAGTTTATCTTTTCTCTATTGGTTTAATAATGGGCGGATTAAAGCGATCAAATTGATCTTGGTGTTGAAAATCCGGAACTAAAGAGTCGCGTGAATGCGAATGCAAATGCAAACCCACGCGAATACTTGGAGGAAGCAGTTGTCGACTCGCAAAAGAGATGCAGAAGAGAATAGAAATCGCTTTTTGAAGCAAGGATCGCCTCTTTCCGGATGTTCGTGGCGTGGAGTTCGATTTTATGATAATTTCCGAATGCGTCTGGAAACGTGTTTCGTTGTCGGGCGTAGCGTCAGCTTGCGCTCTCGGTGAAAAGCATAATTCGGTCTCGTGACCGGATTTCTCTCCGCCACGCATCCGTTTCGCAACGGCATGAACCGCTGGTCCGGTTCGGTGCCGAATTCAATCGGAGGCATCGTCATTCGCAAGGTTAATGATCCTCGCATGTAAATCGGCCTCCTTCGATCCTTCGCACGCGTGTGCAAAAGGAACTCTCTATTCTTGAAATCCGGGACGCCTGAGATCCGACTTCGCATACTTTTGCCCAGATCCGGAACTATTTAAATGTTTAGGAAGCACTGAAATACTAATGTTGATTCGAGCAGAATCGAATGACGTCCTAAATTTATAATTGATTTCAATAATTGAATTCGTATAATTGATTTCACGACGTGAATTATACAAAATTATTGCGCTCTAAAGTAAACATGAAAAACGGCGCTTATTTATGTATAAAAAGCAATTCCTATTCTTTTTTCTGTTTCATGAATGAATTAATGATCTTTTAAGCATTTGCGTGGATTTGCATTTAATACCGGATTTTCCTCGTCTAATACGAAGATCAATGTAATTGCAGACTGAAGATGAAATGATCTTTAAGTCCACCTTGTTATTGGAAGCAATTTACGGTTGCACACATTAATGTAGCTGACTGACTATGATTAATGACTTCTGTAGTTTATATTAGTGACTCATGCGCTCTTTTCCGAGTTCTTACAAACTTCAATTTGAAATATCAATTGAAAAAGAAGAAAATCAGTCATCAGGAGAGTCCGTGCGAACGGTCTGAGACGTATCGTTCGAAGGAGCGTTTCGAGCGTCCCGCGACGTTCACAGATCTCACGGGTTGTCCGGGAAATCACGTCTAGAATCCGCCTGGGGGTTCTTGAACCCGGAGCGATATCGTGTCGTGGCCGGCGAACGGGTGAAAGTTTGCGAAGAAAGCTGCGGCCTCTCTCTCGCCGTCTCCGTTCGTCATGAACGGTCTAGCGTGCCATAGCGTTCGTTCGATTCATTTGCTCAGAGAGGCCATTGACACGCGTTCGCTCCTTCAGATTGTCAAGATCGTGTAACAACTCTCTCGCGTGACGTGGTGTTCACCGGAGACGCGCCTCCGTGGTACTCGATGATTCGGCTGTCCTCAAACGTACATTGATGAAGAGCCTTAACTGCAAATTATTGAAAGATTGTTTCTGCGAAATGTAGCATTGATACATGCCATACTGAAAATAATTCTTTTTAAATTTGATGACAACACGATAGGAATTTTATAAAAATAGATATTTTGACGAGATATCTCTCACTCATTCGTTACACTTTAAAGCGAATTGATGTTTGCACAAAATTTTCTAGTAGAAGATATCAAATTTTTTGATGGATATAATTTATAAGAGAACAATTTTTTGACAAATATATATAATTCAAACGTGATATGAATAGAATTTACTTTCTCCACTTTTTATTTATACTTATTCTTATCCCAAAGTACAACTTTTATAATAAATAAGATACTACATCTTCTCTAAAATATATTTTACAGATAATGCTAAAGTATCTGTCATATGTTTGCTGTAAATTATGTATTAGGGATGCACGGAGGCGTATTTAAAATGCGTAGGACTTTCTCGAGCGAGTTACTCCACTGTGTGTCTCGACCGAGTATCATTGGCGGGACTACGAGAGCTCACTTCGTAGGAGAGCTGAAAAGTTACCCAAGAGCCAAGAATATTACGTACACGCGCGACTTCCGCGTTGCAGGTTGATCAACGCAGCTGAGTCGCGACCGGCCAGTGGCACTCTTTTCTCTCTCTTTCTTATCCCCTTCGCTGCATCCTTATCTCGCGCTACCGACAACGATGACGGCTAAGAACGGCAATGGCGATGGCTCAATCGCGGTGTCCTCTTGCTAAATTGAAATACCTCGCCTTCGGGCGCGCGCGTAAAAGGTTGCACGATCTTCGGCTTCACCTCGCAAACCCGCAGCGAGATCATAGCCAGTCGCTAATAAATACAGGGCTTTGGCGCAACGTGTGCTTGGGACACGCGCAACAAATTTCGCACGATAGCGATGAAAAAAAAGGATCGTAAATTTCGAACAAGGTTGAATACCTTAATTTGTAGCTTTTGAACTCGAGTCCGAATCTTTTCGGTAACAAGCCATTCGTTACACGAGCTGTCGAATAATTTCTTAAACGATTTCTTTGTATCTTAAGAGTTGAATAAATTAAAATAAATTAGAAAAAAAATATACGACTTGTTCATCTTAAAAGTGTTGCAAATCTTGAGAAATTATTGCAAATTCGCCAATTTTTCTGTTCTAATTTCTTCTGTTTTTTTTTTTTTCAGAACGCGGCTTCGTCTGGAGAGCCTGGAGGACGCGGTGATCGTGGAGAACGATAATGACAAGCTGACCGATCGGCGCGGCTGCCCGGCTTACGTCGCGCCGGAAGTGCTGCGCTCCGGACGCGCCTATTCCGGCAAGGCGGCGGACATCTGGTCGCTGGGCGTGCTGCTCTACACGATGCTGGTCGGTCGTTATCCGTTCAACGACGCCGAGCACGCGTCCCTCTTCGCCAAGATCTCGCGCGGCCAGTTCGCCGTGCCGGAGGGTCTGAGTCCGCGCGCTAAGTGCCTGATCCGCTCGCTGCTGCGAAAGGAGCCGTCCGAGCGGCCGTACGCCGAGGACGTGCCGCTGCACCCGTGGCTCTCGAAGCCGCTGCGGCTGTGCGCGCCCACGTCCGGCAGCAGATCCTCGTGCCAGGACCAACTCGTACCAGAGCTACCTACTAATCCTCAAGACTGACTCTCTTTCGGGGGAAGAATCATTATTCCGCGCGCGACGGCATCACTCTCGCATTCTGGTGTTTCTCCCGCGTCGACAGCCGGATCGAGTACTTGCATCGTAAGGCGTGAGTTAGCGCAATCAAAAGATGGCGAGGGGGGGGATGGGGGGGAGGGGGGGGCGATACGGTTTTTAACACACATTAGCTTCGTCAGGGAATAGCGATAAGTTCGGAAAAGTAGCGCGGCGTTCTGTTTGATATATCACATTCGAAAGAAAAGAAAGATACAAACGTGCAAAAGATTGAGTAAAATTATCAAT